TCATGAAGCCGAGGAGCACGACGCAGACGGGCTGGCCGCGTAGGTGTGGTCTCGGGGAGCATGGAGCCGAGGAGCACGACGCAGGCGGGCTAGCCGCGCAGGTGTAGTCTCGGGGAGCATGGAGCCGAGGAGCACGACGTAGGCGGGCTGGCCGCGCAGGTGTGGTCTTGGGCATCATGCGGCCGAGGGGCACGACGCAGGCGGGCAGGCTGCGCAGGTGTGGGGTCGGGTAGTCTACGGCCGAGGGACACGGCTCAGGCGGGTAGGCCGCGCTGAGGTGGTCTCGGGTGGACTACGGTCGAGGGACACGGCTCAAGTGGGCAGGCCGCGCTTAGGTGGTATTGGGCGGACTACGGCCGAGGGACATGGCTCAAGCGGGCAGGTCGCGCTAAGGTGGACTCGGGCAGTCTACGGTCGAGGGACACGGCTCAGGCGGGCAGGCCGCGCTGAGGTGGGGTGTGGGCCCGAACGGGCGGCTCCTGTTGCCGCAGCGGTTGAACTGCAGGCGGGTGCAGCGGACGAGAAACGAGTGGGATAATGGACTACACCATACCGGTCAGAGTTCAGACTTGATGAGTGAGGTCCTGAAAGGCCTTGGATGACACGGGCGACGGGTCGGCTGGGGCTCCTTCGGGTGGCGACCAGCCCGGGTCGTTGAATAACCGTCAATGGCGCTCTGAGGTCGCGGTGGGGTGTTCCCCGGAAGCACCGATCAGGTGTGACCCCTCAGCCGCGAGCTCGTCTGAGTCGATCGGGACGGAGTCGCCGCTTCCACCGGGAGAGGACTCCTCGCCTGCGCGTCCAGTGGGGACCTTCGGCTTCGCACCTGCACAAAGGTCGGGTCGGGGTGCTCGGCCCGACCCCTCCAACGATCAAGTCAGATGATGGTAAAGGGGGTTTCAGATGAAGAAGTCTTTTTTGTGTGTGTTTTCCCTCCTGTCTGCCTCCCCTTTCCTCGGAGCGCAAGGGTTTTTATAGTGAAGCTTACTGTTTCCTGATGTGCCTGCTTGCAGGGGACAGGCTCGTACTCCTGGTAGCGTCTGACACTGGTGTTGGCATGGCGTGGACGACCAGGCCTGAGCAGGACGTTAATGCGCCTTGGCCGGTGTTCTGGTCTGTTTGACCAGGTCCTGTCGGATTGATCGAGGCGTGAGGCATCATCTGGGGCAACTGACGTCAGCCCGAGTCTTGTCGCCATTATTATCCTCATCATATGTCAAAATATACTTTTTTTACTTTATTTAATGATAATTTTTTCTACTCAATTTGATATAATATATTTATCAAAACCTTAGTCTTATCCAATTTTCAATATAGACTAAACTACAGTGTTATGATAGATGAATATCTTTGAGATGATGATATTAGATCCATAAAATAATGTCTAGTATTAATTTTGATTTATTGGCTCAAAATACTTACCCTAGTAATATACTTATGATACCCTCGCTAAATTGGATTTTATAGGTCATTCTAGGAGGTGTTACAATATTTATATTGTACTCCTAACATCTTTAGCATCATTTATAAGATAATGATAAAATCGATGTATCAGATACATAAGAAAATGTGTTACCAGATTTATCCATGTATCAATCCCTATCTATCTAATAGGACAATTGGTAACTTCAATGAGCTTAAATTGTTAGCTCAAAATGCTAATGCAATTATTATACACATGATACCCAAGTATAATCGGATCTTATAAGCTATTCTAGAAGCTGTTACAATATTTATGTTATACTCTTGCTCAAGTAGGAGAAGACTACCAACATGATTTAGTGCTCTCTAACTCCATATGTACATATGTCATGATGTGCCCTCTAACTATATTCAATGATAATTTTTTTCTACTCAATTATATATATATATATATATATTGCACCTCACACCTTCGTCTTATGCTCGGGCCTGTGAGTGAATTCAAAATCCACATGCACGAATGCTCTCTCTACCTCGGGGAGCTGCTCCAGCTTCTCTTGTAGTGTCTCCCCAATGTCATGTGCTTGGCTCAGCGGCATATTCGCCGGCAACACTATGTCCACTTCCACAAAGTAGTGAGACCCGAATGTGTACGCTCTCACCGTGTCTATGTGCCTGATGTGCTCGTCATGGTTCCAGATGAGGTAGGTCAGCTTGGTCAAGTACTCCGACGGTGCTGTCTTCCCAATTAGGGATCCCACGTTCTCCACCACCGTTTTCGCCCAGGTGCCGATGGTGTACAGAGCAATCTGCATCAAGGTGATCAGTTGACATAAAAGTTCACACTGGTTCGAGGTTTTTGTGGGTTAACTCACCAGTATGGCACCGACGGGATCCATCCACCAGTAGAATTTAACGGCGAGCAGAGAGGACGCTAAACCGATGGAGTTGGTCATGACATCAAAGAAATGATCTTGTGCGTAAGCTCTCACAATCTGGTTGTTGAAGCTACGACAATACAGCATGAGGATGAACTTTACAATGGTGACCGAGGCCATGCTGCCCACCATCCATATCATCTTTTGCCGATCAAACGTAGGGTGCTCCTGCAATGATGGTAGAAAAAAGAACGTAACAGGGCGTTCAACATTGAGCATCCTAAAGCTGGATGAGAATATGTTTATAATTGTCACAGAATACGTAGAAAAGGCGAAGATGTACGTGTATATGTACATACTTTACTGATTAGCTGACGGCCAGACTCCAATAACACTTGAAGACCAAGAGTACCCATCACAGAGGCAAACACAATTATGCCCTGCAAAAAACAAGTGCATACCAAACATTAGTTGAAGATTTTTAAGCACAGATTCTTTGCTTACTAAGTATTAATCCATATAACTAAACATCGCTTCAGATGTCGGACACTCTATTCACAAAGATCAGTGGTAGAATCACTACAATTACTTTCCAGTAGAGTTTGCTCTTGCTCATAGCTTTAACTTTCTTCTGTTGCAAGTTGAGATTTTTAGAGAATCATTACTATTGAGGTTTTTAATCCATGATTTACATGAGTGGCTGAGACAAATACAGTGCATATATTTCTTCGCTACAGCAAAATCTAAATCAAGTACTGCATGCATGAAAAAAATGATATAGAGAATATACTATTGAGTTCAGATACAGAAGACAGTGCCAACATATGGAAGCACACAGAGGAGTTTCCATCAAGGGCATGAAATATTTAGATCAGCACATGTATATTATTTCACATCATGGTAGAAATATATATATGCTTTTGAGACAACAAAAAGAGTAAATGCAACATGATTGGTTATAGTATTGACTTACCACAGGCTGCATTCTGTTCTTGCCAATGGGATAGCGATACTGATTAGGTTTCTTCATAGCATATGATGTAAACCAAAGAATAAATCCTGATAGAAGATCCAAAAGAGAGTCCAGGGTAGAAGCTATCACTGCCATGGATCTGCTCTCCATGGAGGCTAGCACTTTTGATGTAAAAAGCAGCAAGTTAACTATGTTTGAGATGTTGATTGCAAATCTTTCACTCTTTGCCAGTTTCTTCATCTCATCCTATACAATAATATAATGTGAAAAGTAAATTTCTTATCCAAGAATTTCCTGGTAACTTTTTCCTCCAAATTGAAAGAAAAAAACATATCCAAGGTCGGTTTCAACTTCAAGTATGTATTGTAGTTGGGGTTAGATTTCAGATGAATCCACTAGTTTATGTATCCATGAATGCTAACCATAAATCATGTTTCATGATTTGGATATGATCCTTACAAGAACAAGTAAAAGATAAATCTGAAGATGTACACAAACCTCTGTAGGAGCCCCTGCAAGACAACCTGTTATGCTTTCCATAAATCATGTCTCATGATTTGGATATGATCTTTACAAGAACAAGTAAGAGATAAATCTGAAGATATACACAAACCTCTGTAGGAGCTCCTGCAAGACAACCTGACTCTGTTATGCTTTCCATCTCATTAAACCCTTCGAGGAGCTTGCCTTGCCGCTCATAGTACTTTGTGATTTTGTTCTGTTTACCTAGAAATATTAAAAGAAACCCTCAGATTATAGATACTACTGAAAACTGGAACAACTCAAAAAGCTTCAAATTAGTATCCACACAACATTGACATTGACACTGTTGTCAGCAATGAGCTCTCATGCTTTCCCAAGCATTCCTTCGACCGATTGAAGCTAGTAAGCCATCAAAGAATTGAAAATGAACAATGATCCTAGGTGGTGTCTTGGTGTTATTGCTCACAAAACTCTCCACAAATCCTGCGTATTATATTGGTCATTTTCTTGAAACTGCTCCAAGTTAAATCGCATGGATTCTCTCCCTTATCCCTTTTGTAATTGTCATACTTAAATTAATAAAAAGATGATTTTTTTGACAGAATAACAACAACAGATAGAACTGTCGTCAACGTCAAAGAAGAGGGAAAAGAAAAAGAAAGAAGGGGGCGCCTTCATAGAACACAAACCACAACAAGAAAACTCAAAAGCTACAAACAAAAGGAGTTTCCATGCCCTAAGCAACACATTCTATAATCGGCGGCAAGACTTTACTGATTCTTCCCGTATACTGCATACGCACGTATGTAGGTGTTTGTGCCATCATCAAACATGCAACACAGGGACTATCATACAGGAAACAAGGAAAGAGTGAGTGAGAGCCTACCTTGGCCCCGTCCGAGAAACCGGGAAACCAAGGGTGGATTATCGGGCAACTCGGGCAGGGAAAACCCAGTCATGTTGAGCCTCCAATTCCGTGGCGACGATGGCATCTCGTTCTCAAGATCCATGGCGAAAGGTCACGACGGTGGTTGGGTGAGGGAGAAGAGGAGGCGCCACGGTTTGCTTTATAGCTGGTGAGAAGATTTCGGATGCCTCTTCCCCTGGTGGAGGAAGGTACCGGGAAGGTTCTGTCTCTTTTTGGTGGTGCGAGACACACATGGAAGGAAGAGGATACGGAACTGAGTCCTTCCTATTGCGGGCTGGTTCAACGAACCGGCTCGGTCTGATCCCGTGGGCCATAATAATTGGTTCCCGGGTAGTCCGGTTCTAATGTCACGATTGGATTGTGATATCCTCACCGCCAGCTCAAGTTACCATAATAGCGATAACAGCCACTTGTTTGTTTGTTGTACGAGTGATCCATGAAATAAAGATACATGAACAGTGCTACTCTCCAAAGCACATAATATACGTATACAATTGACATTCGGAGAACAACCACAAGAAGATAGCTCTCGACAAAGCAATCTATACTTTCTAGTAATATTCTTTAGTACTATTAATATTAATTATTTAATCTCCTATGCTCGTACCATCTTAACTAATTCCTCTCTTACTCTGTCCTGTGTGACACATGCATGAGCTACATGATCGAGCAAGCATTAGGGTTGTCGTCGCTGAAGCGAACGCGGGCTTCCTCCTCGATGATATGGGTGTGCGCTGGTTGCTGGTAGTAGCCATGCAAGGTGGAGTCGTCGTACCCGTGCTTGTAGTAGTTGTAAGAGTGTGGTTCGGCGTCGAAGAGCAGACGGTGAGCCGGCGTCGGGTGCTGCAGATGGTAGCATCCCTGCGTGTAGACGTTGTGCTCCGCGTCCAGAGGATACGGCCACAGCACCGCCCTTCGCCCCGTCTTCCTCACCGCCTTCAGGACCTTCTTCTGGTCCACCCACCCGGTCACCGTCACCTTCTGCCTCACCATGTCTATGTCTACGCTGTCCACCCCTGCAACACATCAAGCTTGCAACATGACCATCTCACACGAGCCATGAACTCGATGCGTTAAGAATGGTTAGCGCCAGTTCTCCTACCTTGTAGCTTGGAGAGGGCTTTTCGTATCTTGTTCTCGCACCCCGAGCAGTCCATGTGCACACACATCTCGACGATCTGTTCATCAAGCAAAGCCAAAGTCATCGAAAGCAGAAGAAATGAGACGCAAGTCATGGAAGCTCACCGTCATCTTTAGAACTTGGAAGGGTACGATGTGGAACAGTTGAGTGGATCTGCGTGCACAGTAGCCTCTACACTGCTGGTATGTATAGAGCTGGTTGAGGGGCAGACAAGACCTTAAAGTGAAGGAAAAGGACGGAAGGAAGGAAAGCTTTAAAGTAAACAAAAGGAGATACCTCACCGAGTCACGATTCCAACCTTATCAAAGAATCGAGAAAAAATCATCAGAAGCTGCCGCGGACGCTGATCTCGCTTGCTTGAGCTTGTTTTACTCCTCCATGGCTGCTTGGAAGATCTACGTACGTGCAGGTACTCAGTCCAACATACAAGTGTGAGAAGCACGACATGAAGCACCAGAACCCAGCGATCGAACCGCGCCGCGTAATTTGACGGCATGGCGAGGCGTTCGCTGGTCGGAAGAAAAGGCTCCGACGCCGCCTTACCGGATCTTATGGCGCACCTCCGGCGGGCAACGGCGATGTAGCCCGCTGAAACGGCGCCACGTGTGGCGGGCGATTAAGGGATGCTGGATAGGGATCCGGGAAGTAGGTGGCTCGTCGCATCGAAGGACTACGTGGGGCGATGAGCACGAATATTTTGCTTTATGTATCGGAGCGTCACGTGGACGAGTGGTGTCGATCTTTGACTATGAGATTCGAGTATGACAACACACTATCAACTGCTTCCAACCCAACTGTTATAACTCCTCGAAAGCAACACAAGTCATAGAGATCCATAAATGGGTACACTCAAGTACAATAGAAGCATTCATAAATTAGAACCAATTAGATATTGAGTTAACTTTAATATTTCGATTCTTATATTTTAAAAAATTATATTGATATTATTATAATTATAAAAGTAAAAATATCTAAGTTTTACTAACAGAAATATGAAAATTAAAAATTAAAAAAAAATAATTTTAACGTTCGATGACAAATGGTATTGTTGGTGTCAACGTTAATGTAGTTGTCAGGTTGTCTCCGACAATGATAAGGTTCACTCTCATCGCGATGTCACATGCCTCTATGAGTGCTCCGCTGACCTCATTGTTGCCCGCCCTATGCCGCTTTGTATTTACGTCAATACTAACACAGTTACCGCTTGGCAACTATGTTAGCATTGACATAGATGGTGGTGGTCGTCGCAACGTTTACGATGAAAATGGTGGTTACCTTGTTGCTGACCCATTGAGCGTATCCCAGCCTTAACCCGAAGTTGGGGTCATCGAAGCTCCTATTGCTCACCTTGCTGCCGTGTCAATTCAAGCACCACTTCTCACCAAGTGGTCCTTTTGCTCTACATCTACATTAACACCGCTCTGCATCTACGTCAATGTTAATGTAGATGTAGAGCGACAGGAGCTTTGACGACCCCAACTTTAGGTCAAGGTTGGGATCCGCCCAATGGGTCAACAACGAGGTAGCCACCATCTTCACTGTAGACGCCACAATAGCGACCACCATTTGTATCAACGTCGATGCAGTTGTCGCTCAACAACTGCGTCAATATCAATGTAGATGCAAAGCGATGTGGGGGGGACGGGGGGCGATGATGGGATCGACGATGCACTCCTCGTGGAGGTAGGTGGCGTCACTATAAGAGTGGACCTTATCATCGTCAGAGGTAGTTAGGCAATTATGCCAACAACGTTATTGTTCGCTATCGAACGTTAAAATTATCTTTTTACCTTTTATTTTTAATTTTTCGATGTTAAAACTAATATCGTTAGAATAAATGGACATAGATGTTTCACTTTTGTAACTATCGTAATATCAATACAACTTTTAAAAGAGTAACGAACGTGACATTAAAAGTAGTAAACTAAGGCGATATTCTATAATTAACCCATAAACTATGACCGGTTTGTACGACAAGAGAAGTGAATAGATACGGAAAGTTACAAACAGTTTGTAAACCAACTGTTGGACTCTTCAACATCAATAAAAAGTCGCACAAGCACATGATACTGGAAAGGATAGCAAAGGACACATCTAACCGGTGTTCCTCATGCCAGCAGCAATGCCCTTCATTGTCAAGATGAGAGTGTCTTCCAGGCCAGGCGCGTACTCACTAGTTGGATTCAGCTTCACGAGATCTGATGCTGAATCATTTGACTCGATATCCTTGGCCTTCACATTTTCGTGGAAGTTGGGGTCCCTCATCCGCTTCAATGTATAAGCTTGACAGACATTTAGAGTTGTTATGTAAGCATGGCGCAGCCGTAAACGTTGTTTCAGATAAGGATCACCTTCAAGAAGATCCCTGTGACCAGCAACCTATAAAAGTTCGCACAAGTCATGCCTCATGACAGAAAAAATTTGCATGGTGTTGATACAACAAATCAAGAATGAACTGCATAAAAATTAAGCAGAGTTCACCTGAAGAAGAAGGTGTTTTGTCTCTTCATAGTTGGCTCTCAGTCGCTCCCCGAATGGCCATAACTCATCAGAAACAAGTAATTTGTCATATAAGGCAGCTATCCCTGGATCTCCCTTTGCAAAGACCATCTCAACCAAATCTATTGTGACTCTGAAGAAGGGCCACTCCTTGTACATCTCCCTTAGTGTCTGAAGATTTCTGATATCCTTGTCCATGACATGCTTGAACGCTGCACCAAAGCCCAGCCACACGGGAAGGTGAAACCTTGTCTGAGTCCAAGCAAATATCCATGGAATTGCACGAAGAGATTCTATCCCCCCACTAGGCTTCCTTTTTGATGGCCGACTGCCGATGTTCATCCTACCATATTCTGTTTCAGGTGTGGCCTGCAAATTATAAGGAGAAAGACTTATTATCTTGATGCCAATATTCGCTGTTTTCATGTGAAATCATGCAGCACTAACTTACTAGTTCAAGACATGATGAGGAATGCATAATATGTTAGTTACATGATAGATCAAATAACCAGATACAAGAATGACTAAAACCAAGACTTGTGACCTTAATTAATCAAGCAAAAGCAGCAATAATTATCATGACCAAATTAACATTGTCAAACGAGAACTGGGACAACACTTCTAACAGTTGTCTACAACATCTTTCCAGGATTACCAATCATATTTCAGAACCACAGGAGTGGTACAGAATGAACAACACTATATGGAAAAATCAAGTAAAAAATCAGAAAGGCTACTTACCAGTCGGAAGTATTCAACAAAACGTGGTTCCTTGAAAACTATTGCCCGGTACTCTTCTGTGGCCACCACAGCCATCTCATCCATCAGCGCACGCCACTCTGGCTTCGGTGAAATCGGAGGGTGCATTCCATGCTCGAGAGTTGCTGCAGTGAAACGTTGAAGTGTTCTAAAGCATAAATGCTCCTCACCGAATGATTGCTCAATTACTTCACCTTGAACTGTCACACGAAGTGATCCATTAATTGTTTCTGGTGGCTGAGAGAGTAAAGCAAGATGTGTAGGACCACCTCCTCTTCCGACAGTCCCACCTCGTCCATGGAACATTGTCAACTTAATGCCATATTGCTTAGCAACCTGCACAAGCTCTTCTTGAGCTTTATATAATTGCCAAGCTGCAGAAAGACGACCAGCATCCTTCCCAGAATCAGAATAACCAATCATAACCTCCTGCTTTCCATCAATCCTGTTCATATACCAGTCTATTGAAAACAATCGAGCTAAAGCAGCAGGCGCTGCCTCAAGATCTGCAAGTTTTTCAAATAGTGGCACAACTCTCAGTGGTTTCTTCACATGACATTCACGTTGCAGGAGCTCCACTGCAAGCACATCTGATGGAGCAGTAGCCATTGAGATGATGTAGGCTCCAAAACTATCGGAAGGAAGTTCTGCTATGACATGGAACGTCTGCAAAACATCAGCAATTTCCTCTGTTTGTGGAAGGTCAGGACCAAAAAGAGGGCGCTTGCCTCTGAGTTCATATAACAACCATTCCTGACGTTTTACTTCAGGCCACTCGTGATACGACCCAATTCCAAGATGATTTGTGATAGCATCAAGAACATCAGTGTGCCTATCAGATTCTTGCCTGATATCAAGTCTAACAAGACAAAGGCCAAACGTAGATACTTGGCGCAAGAAGTCAAGAAGGCTTCCATCAGCAATAGTTCTATCACCACAAGAGCAAAGTGACCTGTAACACAGCTCAAGGGGTTCCAGAAGCTACAAAAAAGAAACAAATTATGATATTGAGTAGGTAATACAATGATGATTTGATATAAGAACCATAGATTTACATGCATAAATAAAGAAGAAACCCTTAAACATGCATGCGTGTCATTTAACATATCATCATTTGTGAAAAACAAGAGATAGATGTGCTGAAAGAAAAGAAAACAGCCGACTGCACAAGTATCCACCAATGAAAGATCTGAAAAGGGACGAGTATACACAGACTTATCTCCTCGAGTGGCTATTTTCATATTTCGAGCCTATGATGCCCACATCAAAGAGGATCAACTTTATGCATCAAGGCCCTCACCCATAAAATAGTATAAAATATTAGTAAGAATAACCATCTTGCTTGATTAAAATGCAGAGAGTTGAAGACACAAAGTCTTTCTTTAACATAGTTATAGCAAGATTGTGAAAAGAAAGTGACACCAGTTTAGACCTTTCTCTCGTACCTAAACAGTACATAAATAAAGTACTCAACTCAAATCTAGATGGTTATATAAGTACTGGTTTTTCTTTCTGCACCTACAATGCTTGAAATAAAGCAAAAGAGTTGACAGATAACAACCTGCTCAACATCGGTAAAAATTGCTTCCTCAGGTATGTCTGAAAATCCATTTGTCAAAAGATGGCGAGAACGTTCGCGTGTATTATACAGCTTATCCCTCACATCACCAAGAATAACACGATATGGCTCATTTGGAGGGATTCGTTTCCAGAATTCTGTATTCAGGAAGAACATTGTCAGAACAGAACAACTAAAGCTTATCCTCTTTGACTAAACATTTACAAGTAAGCATTCAGTCCAAATGTGTTTCCATAGGCCAAATAAAGTTCAATAATTGAGCAGACATCACATAAAAAATTAAAACACCCATATAACCCTGCACAATTTTGCACAATATCACTACAATCAGAGTATCATAAAAGATTTGACGGCGGTGGAAACCAGAGTGGGGGCAATAATGACAAAGAAGAGAATTAGGATCCATAGGTCCTAGGAGAGATAGGAGATATTACAAAAATGCATGAATTCAATGTTCTTAAGCTAGTGATGATTCATGGCAACAGTATGAAAGTGCACAGGCAAACTATGAAATATTACTTAGATGCAACAAGCTATGAAATATATAGATCCTTTTAAAGTACAGATCTGGCAACTGGAATTTATTTAGGTTTCATGAAGCAGTAACGTTAGCTTTCTTGTCAAGTTCCTAACCTTAAGAACAAAGTCAGGTTTTAACTGTAGCAGGTTACAGAGGATGGGAGCAGAAAGAAGAAACAAGCTGTCGAGAGCAATTTGTTTTCAGGAGCTTGTAGATTGTGGAGAGAGGAATACAGATGAATTTAAGTTGATAAATATAAAATACAGCTAAATATGAAACATACAAGTTAGTTCACTTGAGTAATTATACGGTGCATAAAATTCTGTAAACAAAAGTGTCACAGTATACAAAGGATGTGACAAGAAGAAATGTAAAAGATGCATCTTAACTAAATTGTCCATTAGCCCATAATGTTATCATGAAACTTGGCAACAAGGATTGTGATGTTGATCAGCACAGAGTGGTACATATGCCAAAATGTACCGAAATACCAACTAGTGTGGCATGATAATGTGTCATCCCAAAAGGGTTTTAGCACGAAACAATAATCGTCATTGCAAAGCATGATTCTTTAAATATAAAGAGATGCAGAGCCTAGAGAACCTTTTTGGCTAGTGATACAGAAGGATGAAATTAGAAATGGTTCTAACAACTAAAGTGCAGACAACCTGCCTCTTTTTTTACCAAGACTGAATAGGAAAGCTAAAATGTTGTCTTGTCTTAAAAACACAAGTGAAGAAAGAAATTACTTAAGGTATAAGTGCTAACAAATTCAAACAAAATGTTAACAAAGAAAAGGCACAGAAATAAGAATATGATTTAAATAGTACTGAGAATGGATCACTTCTATGATTTAAATAATAAAATTAAACTAACATGCAGCAACAGAAAAAGAGACTCAAACTAACAAGCAACAACAGATAGTCCTCTATGCCATGGTCGGTGAAGCAGTGAGACATTAAACTTCAGGACCCAATAACAGTATTTCCCATAGAAACAACAGGTTGCCATGATATGACACCCAAGAAAAACTGGGTCCAATTCCGAGAGAAAGTAATTAATCACCAAGAATAAGGGAATGATGATCTATGTGATCCATAAACCACATCAATTTTCAACTCGGAGAATACTGAGTATACCTATATAGTGCTTTGCATCTTTTTTTGTCAACTGGTGAAGTTCATTTGCTCGTTCTTGAAGTTCACTGGTGCAGCGCCACATTGATAACTATAAATTGATATTAAAATATCATAAAATGACAAATTAAAAAAAAATCTCCTCAAGTATAGAGAGAATTTACATACAGACTGGATGAATTATACTTCACGGTACCTCAAACATCAAATCTTCTATCTGAGAATAGTACAAACTTGCAGCTATCATTCTAGCCAACAAGCATACATCCCTTGTGACCTCTGGAGTGACTCTGGGATTACCTGCATAGAAGTATTAGTAGGTACCTAGAACACAATTAAATTCCTGTACTGATACTTTCTCTCACTACTGAAATTCTATATTGTGGATGATCATGTACGTAGTGTCAGTAAAACCATTCAAAGAGATTCTGGCCAAGACAATCACAAATTTGAGCAGATATCCCCCAGAACATTTCTTACCATCTCGATCTCCACCCATCCAGGAGGAGAACTGAATGAGAGGAGCATTATAAGGAACACGCTCATTTATTCCAATGTTCTTCAGAGCGGTATCAACACGACGTAAGAATTTTGGTACACCTTTCCATATCGTTTCATGGAAATAACTCATTCCTGCACGCATCTCATCTTGTGGAGTGGGAGGTGTTCTTCGGATTTCATCAGTTCGAAATGCAGCTTGAATCTGCAAAGAGAAAGAAAAGGAAAACTGTAGCAATAAGCCCATTTAGCAGTAACACGCCTAAATTTATTGATGGTAGAAAGAAGAAAATAAGTAAAGAAATTAATTTAAACTTATTTTGTATATTTTAGACTTCATCCTTCTCCAAGTGATGACAGATTCAAAATAGTAATGAAACAGTAAACCAATTGGTTTACCTCTCTCTGAAGAGATTCATCAAGTTCATGCTGATCATCAGGAGTAATATCCTTGGCTGTCAACTCTGTCATGCAATTCCTTATCCTGAAGAACATTCCAAAAATTGTAAGAAAGGATAGTTCAGAACACTATAAAAACAGTTACACCACTAAGAAGGCTTTTTGCAAATTTTAGCACCAACTCCATGGTCTAATCCAAACGCATGAATGAATCCATACAGTTTTGTGACCAATGCAACAAACTCATGCACTGAACTTTTCAGATGGCAAAAGAGGAGAATGTTGGAGAAGCACAGTAAAAGTGAAATGTCAGGAATTTTCAGAAGACACGGGTTTGCTATAGAAAATTGTGTCAGGCATATTGTCAAATAAGCCCATTGACTTAGCGTAGCTTAGAGTTTGTCATTGAACCTGGAATGTTTCTGGAGCAGTGATCTTCGAATTGACTGTGTTGGATGTGCAGTTAGAACCAGATCAACTGTCTGGTTCTTCAGAGCATCAAAGACCTCCAATGGTGACTTATGAAGCTGCTCCACGAGCCTTTTAAGCGTCTCTTCGATGTCGGATTCGGTGGTCGCATTATTCTCATCAACAAAGTCTCCCTTCTTCAGCCTGTTCCTCCTGCGGTAAGCAATCTGGACCTCCTCGGCCAAATTGCCCAGGTTAAGCATATGGGAGAAGGAGCTGGCAACCAAGATAGAGTCTCCAGGATCGAGACTCATCAGAACATTCCCCAGCTCATCCAGCTTACTCGGGTCACCTGTCCCTTCATACTTTGCAGATATCTCATAGCACTCTTGAACCTGGAGAGTAAATGCCATGTCTGAAGCATCAATACTCTTTCATTGCGCATCAATGCAATCAGAACAAGCAAGAGATCAACCTAATTGGATTCACCGAAGCTTCACATAACGTGGATATTGTATAGTGTGAGGTCTAATAAGTTTCAGCACTTTGTCCATCCCAAAATTTGACGAAAAATACGCAAAAGATAGCACAGCACAATGAAGCAATAGCATAGGAAATCGTACCGTTTCCCGGAGATCTTCGCCGTGCAAGCACTGGAGGATGTCGAGGAAGCGATCGACGAGCAGCGCATCGTACTCCACCAACTTATCGTCCTCGGAGACCTTCCCCGGCGCCAGGAGCCTCAGCTGCGCGTCGATGGACGCATGCCTCTCCAGCGAATCCCGTGACATCTCGCCCACCAAGTTCTCACCTTTCCTTCACTCCCACTCCCACTCCCACTCCCCCTCCCCCTCGCTCCTCCTCCGCCTCTTAAACGGAGAAACCAGATCAAAGGGCACGGGAAACCCGCCCTTTAGCGTGCAGCAAAGGGCAGCAAATAAAGCCGAACCCGCCCCCAGCACGCCCTTCAACTCCGACCACAAAAACTTGGGTGGATACCTCCAAAAACCGCAACTTTATCTGGTTCTCACTGCTTCCAACGAGACGAAGCAACTTCAACAAGGAAGGAAGGAGACAGGAAGCGCCATGGTCTGATCCAAAGAATGGATTGTGGAATTAGCTGCATACAAGGAGTTAGCAGAACGCCACTCCAAAACCAGAGCGGCGAGTGCTGACCTTTTTGACCTTCTCTTCCTCTCAGATGGTGTGGTACACAGCGCAGTCGTACCTTGGTGGAGTTGTGTGGATCCCGATGAATGCAAGGATGCCATCTTAAGAATATGCTAACGTCGAATCCACTACCGGGCCTCCACGTGTGAAACCTATAAGCATTAATTTTGATACTAAGATAATTATAATATATATATATAATTCAAAACATATATATCATTAGACTTAAGCTCTCTCGGTAGACCATCAGCAACACCCTTTAAAAATATTACATATATATAATTTTTATATTTGTCCATCTCAATTTAAGTTTAGGGAATAAGGATCAAATACGTTATTTCCAAACTTGAAGTAGATTCGTAAGATCCAAATAGTTCGACTTGATTGCAGCCTTTTAAGACTCCGCTCGGTACAGTTCATACTTTCCATCTGCGACGAGGAAAGAAAATAAATAATATAATCAATAATCCTCCATGCATGCATTAGCCATGAGACTCGATGAATCAGACTGTGATGAGTGCATCAATAAATGTGCCACCCAATTGCGCCCACTGCATTTGTCGTGCGGATTGAACATGCAAGCACTAGCTTCGAATTCTTTTCATGTGTTAGGAAGGCAAATAATTAAGTATGACCAACTATATAATATCACCACCTAAATTAAGTACAAACACATTTAAAGCTTAACTGCTCAAATATGGTACCAATATCAACAAAAGAAGAAAAAAAGTTATGGCCGATGCATGTAAAATGCATGAGTTTTATTTACATAAATAGAGAGATCACTTGAATCTTAATCAGATATAGAAAAGTTATTTCTATGATTCGAAGGTTGATTACTCAGATTGAAGAGGAGTTACCATACACATCAATTTCTTACCAAGCGAGAATATCAATTTAGAAGCAGTATAGGCCTTGGCATAAGGTTATTTCTTACCAAGTGAGTTCAGGCTTCATCCCACTACTTTTATATCCAACACCGGGACATGCATTTTATTTGCACACACTCCAATCTACATTCCATCATTAATGATGATAACTAACAACAAATAGATGTGTACAAACCGAATCATCACAAAACATTCATGATGGTATTAGCAAAATCACAGCTGAATTCATTTGAACAAACTAGAAATATGATATCATCTTCTATTACCAATGACTCGGACAGAAAAATTGTACACAACACTTGAAGAATGCAATGACTATGGGTTATCACTACACCATTGCTCAACAAAAAGGCTGTCATTATACCAAAACCAGCCTACTTAAGTTCGTCACCAAGTTATTATTGCAGAACAGTCAAAATCAACTTACGTCAGTCCAAGTCAAAGAATACTCTATAAGCCCAAAGACTTCTCCATCTTCTGAATTTGGTTCAGGAATATCCACGTCATCTGCAAGACATCCCATTTTGGAATCAATCGGACAGCAAAGAGATGACTCACAGCATGAATGTAACAACTGAAAGAAGCTTTGACTAGAATCAACAAAGCTTTACCATGACGTGTGGAGCAATTCTCACACAATACACAGGAAATCCGGTGTAAAACTTAAGAGGACCACCAGATTTCAGGGTCTTCAAGACACAGTCCAAAGACCCAGTGTAGGGATACTTCCCAGTGGCATCAGGCTGCATCTTCTGTATTTGTGTCTTCACATAATCAAATGGTAAACTGCAAGCAGATGCAAAGAACCCTGAAACAGCACTTGCCCCTGAAGATGGAGACAGAGTAGCATCAGGTCAATCGCCACTCTAATTGATAAAACCCCCTAATTCTGCTAACATTCTAGAAAGTGTATCTAAGATAAATTATTTTTTTCTGCAAATGTTCCAGGAGTAGATCTCAGATATAATATAATGCAACCATAACTGAAATCTTGTAGACAATCTGCAACTTATACAACTTTTTTTATTGAAGTACGCCAATTCATAAAGATTTAGTGATGCTACAGAACAGAAGCAGAACCCATTAACAGGAAATTTTATTTAATAACTAATAAGTTTCAACTGTTATCAATGAATGTCAGAAGAAGCAAAGGCAACTGGCATGCAACCCCGACATCTAGGTGGCTGTAACCAAATCTAATTTTAATGTTAAAAAAACCATATGACAACTTCTGAAACTTTCTCGGCGGTAAATGAGTCCAGAAGTCAATTTATAAAATCATTGAGTCTGATCTGTTCAGCTATACTCCTGACTAAATGCACAAAGGCATCAAATGAAACACACAGAAGTTCTCCACCAAATCAAGAATCTCATAAGGGAGATGCCGAAAGAGAACTATCACATCCAAATCCATCACCAAAGAAAGATATATAAAGGCCAAACAAGTGTTCCTGCTCAGTATCTTACCGATCACGGTGCTAACTTCACCAAGACCAAGGGAATCCCTGAATAGCTCGACACTCTGATCATATGAGGCAAGCATACCCATGTTCAATGACATTGCTCTTACTACCGTAGGACCTGCACCTTTCCATAGTGCCAGAACTCCTTCATCGGTAATGATACGATAGAGTGCGTGGAAAGCATTTTTGTAGTATCTTCGTTGTGCTGCAGGCAAAGTTGCATCAGCTTGCATCCTAATGAGTGCTAAATCAGCTGGACTGCCAAAACATGCTCCAATTGCTCCAGCTGTAAGACCAATAGCAGCCTTCTGGAGCAAAGGCAGTGGTTTGCCATCATTAGCCTCCACAGCTTTGTTTGTCAACACCCTAAACAAAACCAGAAGTCATCACTTGCCTACAATAACTGATGAGCATAGCATACTTGTAGTTCAAGAGAAAGTAGACATAGCCACATTAATAATCAAGTACATCTTAGTTCAAACTTGATGCATGACACAAGCTATTTATGAACTTCCTTCGGAGATTAGGTTTGATATCAAGAACTCAGCAACTAATTTTCAACATGTGACAGTAGCATTAGCCTCAAGTATTACGTACATCAATCACATGTGCAGTAAAATTATTTCTGGATGAATAGAGGGCACCAAGCTATTCAATTTAATCTAAGCTTTAGTATCTTCATCAAAAAAAGCAGACTCTAAAGATTAATTTATGATGCCACTACAAAAGAGTATATGGCCTTTGCATGTGCAATCTTATCTTGCTATTGATAACTTCTAGACAAATTTCTTTCAGGATATCATCGGACCAAATATCCATCTTCCTTAAACTAAATTTGGCTAGAAAACATAAAGTTACCTCTAAGTTTAGTCATCTGATTTACCTTAAAGGTGATTAACATTATAATCATGTTTCCTACTTATTAGGATTGCCACTAACACAAATTATATTAACTTGAGATAAAATAATTTACACATAGATCGTAGCAACAGTGCAACAAGTTCAGAAGCAATAAAGATCCCAAGAGGTCCTGACAATAAGACTACACAAAGACTATTCTGCTATCCACTTACCAAGGTATTAGAATCAGGAGAGAGGATTCACAATCAGAAGAGAACAAGGATACGAGGGATGATGTGTCACAGAAATCATATGAACCCAATTCATTCTGCATAATAATGGATGCAGCAAGAATACCAACATACATGAATTGACCACCTCAACTCATGGTTAATCCAGGTAATCTGAAACATTCATCCCATACAGCAACCTGAAATCATTTTTGGAAACCTAATGCATCTATCAATTGGTTTGTTATATAAACTAAGCCAAGGTCAGATTTGGTTTTACCAATAATGATAGCAAATCCCAAATCCTCAAATAGATTCAAGTGTCTAGGTTTAACTATGTAGTGAAATAAACAATTTCAAAAAGAAAAGAAGGAACATACCTGAACGAACCCAAACGTGCAGTGGTATAAGTAGCTTGCCTTAGTAAACCAGCTGATAACCCCTGTTTCAATACAACTCATCAGGATGATAAAAAATGATCTAAGCATGAAAAGAAGATTCCAACAGAATGAATCAATTTACAGCCAAGAAGTATTAAATTGGTTTTGGAGTCATGATCTATATATATATATATATATATATATATATATATATATATATATATATATATATATATATATATATATATACACACACACACACACACACACACACACACACACACAATAAGTACCTGCATTGCATTGGACATACATGCTAAAGATAGATAAGTTATTATTCAAACAAAAGAAATATATTATTTGACATGGTACTGGTAGATTATATTGGACATACATGTTACTAAAGATAGATAAGAGGATTCTCCCCTAACTATTATGAAACGCACTCTATAAGGGAATCTTTGGCCAATAATGAGCTTGCTTGGTTCATATTAGTTCATTAATTACCAGCTCCACTGAGCTTTGCTAAGACTAACTCAATATTTAGAAGAAAAAAAACAGGAAGCAATTTTAAGAAAGCCCAGATGTTTGTATATATGCTTCTTGGTCTTATAAATAACAATTAATTGCTAAACACTAAATCAATTTAAGAAAGAAAATAAGAAACATAAGTTATGCTTGTGCTTTCTATTATTAGAAGCATGAAAAACATTGATCCTACCTGAAACCTGTTTCACAGAAGTGCAACTCACTGTACTCCATGAAACACATAACAGATACCGAACTCTGCTTTAGTTTTTCAATCAAAACAGGCATGCCCAAATGAAAGCAGACTTACTAAATAATATCAGTTTTAGGGTACATATAATCATACAAGCGCAACGATTTTTACACATCCAAGATAGCTTAAAGAAACAAACAAATGCGAACATTTTGAAACATCATCAGAACTCCAGGTGCTCGAGATGCATTAACTCAAAACTAATAATATCTTTACAAGATTTTTCTTCATCTTCTCAATTCCCTCCTACCACACGTGTAAAAGCCAGCAGAAACTACCAGCATATAAGTTTGTAAGAATCACACGATCATCAGCAACCAACAAAGAAAAGTATATCAAAGAAGCAAAGAGAAACAAGAAACGGATGGTGTGATGTGAACCTTGTAAAACGAGCCAAACCCTTCATTGGCAAGCATGTTCTTTGTAACCTGGACAGCTGATCCCTGACCCAGCTGGATCCTCACCTGGAATCCATATGAAATACCATCAAACAGCTGAATCATAACCCGCAACAAGAAAAAACGTAGCAAAGATCTCAGATCCACCAATAGATATTTGCCAAATCCCATAAAAAAAACATGAGATTTCTAGCATCAAGAACAGCAAGAACACCGCCCTTGTTCTTGGATCCAGGACAAACCCTCTAAAGAATCTTTCGGATCCCTAGAGAACACACCTTCTACACCAAGATAGGGAATCCAAACCGGCCTTCGACGAATCACAGAAGGAGCACATCGGATCAGAGAGTGGGGGAGGCAGGGAAAAGATCTATGGTGTACCTTCACCATATCGATGGGCTGGATGACGCAGGTGGCAAGCATACCAGAGACGCCTCCATTGACGAAGGGCTTGACGGTGCTCCACACTCCGGACTGGCTCTTCGGCTTCCCCTCCGCCATTTCCACTCAGAGAGAGAGAGAGAGAGAGAGAGAGAGAGCGGGGTGACACAAATGGGAGAAAGAAAGGGAGGGAGGTATCGTTGTGGGGACGAGAGGAAAACCTAAATATTAACAGCGGGTGAATACTTGGACACGAAAACAAGGTTGTAATAAACACCTCCATAACCGTACATCAGCTACAACTTTTGATCTCAACCGTCCGTTTGAACCGGTGAAAATAACTTTGACCACCTGGTTCTCGTACAGAACAGACAGACGGTTGAGATTAGAAGTTTTAGTAAAATGGACGGTCATAAAAGAGCCTATATGGTTTCTGATGAAGAAGACTTTGCACTCGATCCATGGTGGACCTACCCGATCAGATTGACCGCCTACTAAGGATCTCGTTGATGATTTTTATTTATTTATTTTAAGATCGGGAAAAATCTTTTGAGAACTCATAAATATCTTTTTTCATAATTTGTATATGCAAAATTGTATATAATATATATATATCAGTAAATTTGATATTTATTAATCTAAAACTAGGTTTAATATAGAGTGATCGGGACTGGACATGATCCAATACATGAAATCGATTTGACCAAAACATAAAACTCAATCGAATGTGATATGGCTGAGTAATCCGGTTCATGTCTCAAATGGACCGTGGGTCAATTGGGTTTTAATTGTACTGGATCAACGAGCGAGGCGGGTCTGGCCCGGCCTGGCCTCCGTGCCGGTGACTGATGACCGCCGCCTTGCAGTGTGCATACGTATATACATAGGAGATTTAGAATAGCAATCTTTTGAAGTGCCGATGGATCACCGAGATGGTGACTTGTTATTCGATTCATGAGTACAGGGATCATTGACATCCATACCACTAGTCAAGTTTCCATTTATAAGAAACGAAAAATGATAATGAACTATATATATATTACTCTCAAAGAGATTTCACGATAGATGATGATATGATACTATTTTCAATGAGTTAGGGTTCTGTAAGTTCAGTTTCATGAACCTGGATTCCCAGTTGGGCATGCCATGTTAGCAATGATGGTTGCAGTCCTTATTAAAACGCTTTCTATCGTCTTGAGAATGAAAGCAGTTCACCATTTGAGGGGTTTTATCTTCGGGAGATCTGTGGACTTCACGATGAGTGCTGACAAGAAAAGGAGGGTATGTTAAGATTAGATTAACGATGGCATCAAGTATATCATGGCGGAACTTTGGTTTCATGTGGGTGCTTATAGAAGACAGTCTTGATGCATTCGGTATCCTAAGAAGGAAGCAGAAGATGAAGCTTCCTCCAAACATGTACAGCGCCGCGCCTCTTATGCTTGTATCTACCTGTATCCTCACTGCTTAACCTAAGGATTTCATGTGGCCAGATCATGATGGAATTTGATGTGCAAAAGGTAGTGGTGATACAGCCATATATTTGGAGCTCCAACAGCTACACCAGCTTGAGTTGGCAAAAGATTATTCCATCTGGCCAATGTCGGGCACTTCAATTCCCATCAGGGAACAACAACATATGGACTGGAGTCGTAGCAGAAGAGGAAGAAGAAGGGCAGGTCTACCTAAAGTTGGCGCAAGGGAACACGACGGTCGCAATGCTCCACACCTGGAAGTCAAAAGGGTCATCCGCCTGCTCTCTCTCCCATCAACCATTCTCGCAAGTCAAAAATGCAAAGCTCGTGCTCCTCTATCGGCCATTCTCGACTCATATCCCGATGCCCTTTCTTGCGTTCTCATCCTGTCTGTCATCGCATCTCCTGTTCTTAAAGTGATATCGGCTTCATATGTCACCTGTGAAAAGCTGCCTACCAGTCTGTCTGTCCGTCTGTCTGTCTCTCTCTCTCTCTCTCTCTTGGACGTCACACGGTGTTGGTACATTGAAGTTTGATCCTCCGTGTGGTTTCCAAAGATCGTCTGGCGAGAGAAGCAAGGGAAGTTGACCATGGGAAAGGGTTAAATGAATCGTGGGTCTTCACGTTGACAACTTGGTTTTCATCATACCTTGGTAGTCTCAAGACATCATTCTAGATCAGCAAGTGTATGTTCTTCTAAAAGAATAAGAAATTAGAGTGATCGAGTCCAGTTGAGCCAGCAGAACCTTTTCAAGAAGAAGGGAAGAGGAATCAACAGTAACGTGACTCGTACTGCACGTATGGTTGGGTTGTCTATCCAATTGATAGATAGCTCATCTCCTATTGACTGTGTTCTAGTCGGGTCCTTCTTGTACGGGGAGGTTGTCCTGGATACTTACGCAGCAGTAAAAGCATCAACGCACTCAACGAATGGTCACATGCGATGTTCATTAAAGTGGAGCATCCATTCGATGGCTCCTCACGAAGGAGATGAATTAGACGACAATGGTATAAGCACTTCAGCAACTGCTGGTCATAAACATACACGGTGCCATAAGTTTCAAGCTCGAGGGCTTATTAACTTGCCGAGAAACCAAAACAACAAGAACAAGAGAAAGGGCAAGGAGACGAGCTCTCTGCCATAAGTTTCAAGCTCTAAGGGCAAGGAGACGAGCTTGCTTCTCTCCATCTACTGGATTCATTGCCTTTTACATAACAACACAGCCTTTGGTGTTTTCATCACTGAAAAGATGGGTAACGTTGCAGGATTGGTTGCTCTGATCATGGTGACTGGGGTAGCAGTTGTAGTAGGCAGTGTAAGGGGATATCTGAGGTGACCGGAGATACATCATCTGTGGCTGCATGTATCTGTTGTCATGCATCATCATCATGTTGTTCCCACCAAGGTTGCTGCTCATCATGGACGATGGCCGGGCCTGATATCCCTGCATGTTCACCAGCATGGGGTGCTGATGCTGCTCTCCGCCATGTGAGGGCGGCCCCGTGTAGCCATGGAAACCACTTCCTCGGAAACCTTCCCCGTTGTATCCACCCAGTCCATTGAAGCCGAGACCTATCATGCCGTTGATGTCCGCCATCCTTCTTCCTTCCCCTGCATTACGAGTAGTGTTCACCAGCTTCTGTTGAGCTGCAGCATTTGTGCCATTTTGAGTTGATTTATTTGGGTGCTGCATGTGGTTCAGATAAGGATTTCCTCCACCCTTATTTCCACCTCCGCGGGTGGCACTTCCACCAGCATTAACATTGCCATTTTTCTTTGCACTAGCAGTTGCATTGTTTGGCGGCATCAGCCGATTAAATTGCTTGACGTCATCAAGAAACCTCACATCATCGGCGAACTCGTCGTCGTCGTCGCTGCTATCGTCGTAGTCTTCGTCATCCGAGCTGTAGGAAGGAAGCTGCTTCTGCCGGTTGTTGGAGGCTTTGAGGCCTTCTTTGCCCTGGTCTTTGTTGTTCTTGTTGCCATTCTTCGCTGGGGGAGCAGCTTGCTTCTGTTTCTTCTGAGGCCAGAGCTGTGCATGCTTCCCTGATTTCGTCAGCTTATTTATCAGGGTTTCGGAGTCCACGTTTCCTTGGACGGTGACCTTCTTGTTCTCCACATCGACGTCTACTGAGAATACTCCTGTGTAAGAAGAACCAAACGTGAGATCATGTGATGATCTGAACTAGCACGAGGGATATCAATTTTCCAGTCAGTTGCATCTGCCGCCGTAAAATCATTGCAAGCGAAAATTCTGAAACAAAATGGCAGTGATCTATCTACTCAGATCAAGAAAACGTGACTGAAGAAAAGCACTCAGAAATCCACAGAATGGTGAGATGTCTGTTTAAAAGCAAAGGAACAGAGCAAACAAAAAGAAAGTTCTCAGAAACACCGAAACAGAGGCATTACGGCGAAGAAACCCGCGGAAGGCAGATGAACGACGACGAAGTACCTTCGATTCTGTGGAGGATCTTCTTGACTCTCAGTTTACACCCATCACAGTGTATGTTCACCTTCAGGATATGTGTCTGCAGGAATCGAACGAAGTGTTTTCTTCACAGATTCTTCCCTCTTTCTCTGAAGAACGCAAATGCGAAGAGGAAAACGCAAAGCGGCAGACGAAAACAAAGTTTACCTTGAACTTGAGAACCTCGAACTCCTCTTTGCCCATATTCTTATTGCTGTTCTTTCTGCTGCCCCTGTGGAGATCAAAGAAGGAAAAACCGCACTCGAGACGCTCTTAAGACGGTGTCGGGAAGAGTTGCATGTAAGACTTGACTCGAGACACTTTATATACACCTCTGCCCACATGGGTGTGCTCGTTTCTCTTTTAAGAGGCGGAGGTGTGACATACATACATATATATATGTATATATATATGTATATATATACATATGTATATATATATGCATGTATATACATATATATATATACATATATATATACATACACACACATATATATATATATATATACATACATATATTTATTTATACATATATGTATGTATATATATATATATATGTGTATGTGTATATATATATATATATGTACATATATGTATATACATACATATATATATATATATACATACATATATATATATATATACATATATACATATATACATATATACATAGATATATACATATGTATATATATATGTTTATGTATACATTACATACATCCACTTGGTTCTTTTACTTGTATGAAATCGAGTTTAGTGAACTCCTTGTATAAGTGACACTCTGTAGAACGGGAAACAGAGACTGCATTCTGAATCACAGAGAGTACGGCCACAAAATACAACTAACCGAGCAGGTTGGCTTTGGAAATTTGAGATTACTGTGCAAGATTCACCTACAACTATTATGTAAACCACAAGCAAAAGGTTAAAACCCTAGTATTTTATCAACCGTCGAATTAACCAAAAAAAAATGTAGATCTATCTATACAAGATTCATGTCCCAAGTGTAACCCAACTAATATGATCAGATCGGAATCAACTCCAATCATTTGTCCTACTTGCTTGACCTGGTCTTCTGAGATGCAAGATCAAATCTGTTGCCGG